AGCAGCAGGCATCAGGGTCGGGATCGAACACACGACCTCCTGCATACAGGGCGAGGTAGTTAACATCTTGCCACCGTAGCACCCCAATAGCAATTGGTGCAGCGACGGAGAAAATGTCAGGATTGCCCCCTCACCCACCCGGAGATGTTTCTAGATCCACTCGTGCACTGGCTAATGTTGACAACTTGTACCTTGTAACTAAACATATGCAAATCTCGACTTAAAGCTTTCGTGACTGCAGGAATTCATATTCTTGGGTCTTTCGGTAAAGTCACGTAGATAGGTTCAAAGAAAATAACAAAAAACTACAAAAAAACTACGACGTTTCGATCGCAACACAAGCGGTCGTCTTCAGGAAAGTGGGGGGGGGATAGGAACGTCGTAGTTTTTTGTCATTTTCTTTGAACCTATCTACGTGACTTTACCGAAAGACCCAAGAATATAAACACATGCAATGCATTAACGTGCACTTGCCTTTATTAGAGCCGAGGTGTCACTTTTACAAAGTGTTAATATTATACAAAGCGGTCATGTATATATTCATTACCGATGTCTAATGATCCTCCTACTTTTTTTCCCAACGGGTGATTGAATATCTTTCATGGGAGCGTGTTCAATTAAAGATGTAATGAGCGCATTGACATTGGCGGGAAACATTCAGAGGCTTTGAAATAAAATATTTTCCACTTTATCTCCACCTTTTATTTTAGCCGCGTATCTAGAAATTGATCAACCTCTATAAGTGTACACATTCCCAGGCATGATCAATCCACCGCTGGATGAAGGCCTCCTCAAGCTAGCACCACCTCTCCCGATCTTGCAATGCAACGGTCTATCCAGCATCTGCACATGTATTGATGTCATCCTTCCATCTCCTTATCATCATCAGATCCTCAAAATGGGTTGCTGGTGGACAGCGAGTCGACTCTGGTTTTCGCCTCCCTCCACTCAGAGCCTACATGGACGACATTACAACATTGACCACCACTGTCCCATGCACCAGGAGACTGCTCAGAAAACTCGAGGAGAACATCAGCTGGGCCCGTATGAAGATTAAACCATCCAAGTCACGCAGCATCTCGATTGTGAAGGGAGTACTCTGTGACCTGAAATTCTTCATCGGAGATGACCAAATCCCAACAGTGTCTGAGCAGCCGGTAAAAAGCCTTGGAAGGTGGTATGATGCAAGCCTGAAGGACAAAGACCAGGTGCAACAGCTGCGCAAAGACATCAGTAGTAGCCTACAGTCCATCGACAACACCCAGCTACCTGGAAAGTTAAAGGCCTGGTGTCTGCAGTTTGGTCTCCTACCCCGGGTGTTGTGGCCCCTAGCAGTGTATGAGGTTCCAATCTCAACAGTGGAGAAGATGGAAAGAGGAGCCACGAGCTACTTAAAGAAGTGGCTCGGAGTTCCACGATGCCTTACCACCATAGGCCTCTATGGAGATGGTGTCCTCAAGCTGCCCCTCACCAGTCTAACCGAGGAATTCAAGTGTGCAAAAACCAGGCTCCAGATGACACTGAATGAATCTCGAGACCCAGTGGTGAGCAACAACGCGCCGACCTTGGCAACTGGGCGCAAATGGAGGCCAGGAAAAGCAGTCCAGGAGGCAACAGCAGCCCTCAGACATGCTGACATTGTGGGTCATGTTCAGCAAGGGAGAGGAGGCCTTGGGCTAACTAGCCATGCTGCTTGGAGTAAGGCCACTGCACCAGAGCGGCGGAAGATGGTAGTGCAGGAAGTACGCCATCAGGAGGAGGCTGCAAGGTGGGCCAAGGCAGTCTCTCTTGCCAAACAAGGACAGTGGACTCGATGGGACAGTGTGGAGAAGAGGAAGATCAGCTGGAAGGATCTGTGGGCCATGGAAGCGAGGCGGTTGAGCTTTTCCATCAGAGCAACATATGACATCCTTCCAACACCAGTTAATCTTCACCAATGGTATGGTGAAGATCCGGACTGTGCCCTCTGTTCCATGCCAGCCAACCTCAGGCACATTCTTACAGGGTGTAAAACAAGCCTCACCCAAGGACGCTACACTTGGCGTCACAACCAAGTCCTTAAAAACCTTGCGTCCGCCCTGGAGGACAAGCGAGCTGCCACCAACTCCCTACCACCCCCAGCAGCATCACACCCCTTACGGACGACCTTTGTCCGCGAAGGGGCTAAACCACCGAAGAGCGGCTCTACACCAATAGAGCGAGACCAGCTGCGCTTGGCCCGCGACTGGAAAATGCTAGCTGACATTGGCCGGCAACTTGTGTTTCCTCCGGAGATCGCAACCACCACCCTAAGACCTGACATGGTGCTCTGGTCCCGTTCGCTCAAGAAGGTCTTCATCATTGAGCTCACAGTACCCTGGGAGGACTCAGTAGATGAGGCTTATGAGCGAAAACATCTGCGCTATGCCGATCTAGCTGCCGAAGCACGGCATCATGGCTGGAACACAGAAGTCCGACCAGTGGAGGTGGGCTGCAGAGGTTTTGTGGCAACATCTACAACCAGACTGCTTAGAGACCTGGGAATTAAGGGCCAGAGCCAGCGTTCGGCAATCAAAGCTGTATCAGAGGCGGCAGAAGGCAGCAGTCAGTGGCTCTGGATGAAGAGGAAAGACCCCAGCTGGGCCCCAAAGTGAGAGGGCCAGGAGGTATGCAGTCAACAATGCTTGACTCAGGGAGGAGGACGCCCCTGCCATGCATAGTCCCATGGGATGTTGGCTACCAACAACAAGGCAACTCCTATGACTAATTGGGAATGGGACGCAAGCGTAGGATTGATCACCCTGTCGCTGGCCGCCTTTGGGGAGGGTGTATAGTATGAAAGGCCGAAACACCCTAGGACCCAAAGGTTCACTACTGACGATGCGCTCCCCAAATTTCACCAGGCTCACTGTTCATGAACTCTTGGAAGTGCTTGCACAAAGGATAATAACATCTCATCCTGTGTTCTTTGGAATCCTTGGTGGTTAAATATACAGGTGCCTTGATATAATAGTTCACAGTGATATACGCAGTCATGTGTAGTTTCTAGTTTGTGGAAACACTGCATGCGTAAGGTGTGCACTCTCCATGTCCAGTTTCGTTTGTTGCGCTCTTGAATGTCTTAAAATGGATGTGGGTATTTTATGGGTGGACAAGAGGAAGGGAATATTCTGGAAATCGCAAGGTCTCCAGCCAATAACAATAACGGGCAGTGATCATCATGGTCATCATCATCATCCTTCGCAGTGATCGTCAATCCACCAAGACTGCTATGGCCACCAAGAGCAAGATGAGCTCCATAATCGAGTTTTTTTTAGGGTTAGATCGCGTAAATATATAAATGTGTCGTTAAACCCGCCACCACCCGACACAGCCAACTAGTAAGGGTTGTCACGTAAACAGAACGTGGTCAATTCGTCACTAGTACAGCACACCGGTGTGTTGGAGAGCTAAGCCACAACATCGACAATCTGAGTACGACGTTTCGCCAGTAATTACAACTAGCTTCATCAGGCGACAGCCAGACAAATCTGGCTGTCGCCTGACGAAGCTCGTAACGAATTGGCATGTTCTGTTCACATAACAAACCTTACTAGTTGGCTGTGTTGGGTGGTGGCGAGTTTAACGACACATTTAAATATTTACGCGTTCTAACCCAAACAAACCTCCATTATGGATATTGGTCGCGAAAGCCTGCGTGTTAAAGCAAGTTGAGCCGTTTCCATGCGCGGACCTGGGACCAATAGCATCTGCCCGGGTCCACGTGCCGGCTTATATTCTCTGTGGCGTGGCCGGTTCCACCCTTGGCAACGCCCACCTTCCAGAACCCTCGGGAAGGACCTGGGTCCCAATCACGTGACCCCCCCCCCCCCCCGAGCCCCCTCTTGGGGCCCCTCTGTCAACTTAACTGGTCACGTGTCCTCCCGGGTCAACCAGAATGCCATGGACTCACACGACCACACCGTGTTCTGTAGGGCTGGCACTGCACTTCCAGCATAGTGCCATCCAGGGATGTCACTACAGATGTCTAAAGGTCTCCTCATCCTGTATCAGTCATGGGAGAGGAGTGGGTTGAGGGGCGGGGACTTGACTCTATATAACCACGCTGGTCAGCATGGGTTGGTGAAGTGGGAGGCCTAGGACCGGTTCAGCTATCACCCCCCCCCCCCCCCCCACTGATGCTAGCAATGGCGTTGGGTTCAGAGCAGGGTGCGTGTGTAGTGTAATAGCGCCGGCTGCTGACCAGCAAGCGGCAGCTGCAGTGTACAAACAGTACACACGCCGGTGAGCATATACACGGGTGTGTCGGCTGGGCGGAGGAGCCGGGGAAAGTGTCATGGAGGGCCCCATCTGGAGGCCCCTGGAACCTGCTAGTGGGTTCGAGAAGGGAGGCGCGGCCAGAGCGGAGCCGGTTCGTGCTGGTAGCATAAAAGGAGCTGAGAGTGGGAGCTCGAGCCTGCCGGTGTTGGGAATTGGATCGTCTCGTCGTTGCTGTTGCCTCGTCGCCATCGTCGCTGCCATCTTCGCTCGACATTTTGCTGCTGGATAGTCTGTTAGCCATGAATATAATAGCCTGTTAGCCGTCTCCGTCAGCGCCGTCGATGTTAGATGGCTAGTGTTGTGTCATAAGCTAGCGACTACAGAGTGTGTGCAGGCAATATCGTGAGTGTTAAAAAAGAGAAGATGCCTTTACAACCTGGTCTCAGAAGTCACTGCACTACACGTGTATAAACCACTGCCGCCCCCAGCACTCCAATACAGATAGCTAAATTGAGCGTGCAAAGTGAACGGGGAGGCGTGGACTCTTGCGAATGGCAATCTCCGTGAGCACGGCGTCTGTGGGGCCATTCTCAGTGAGCAAAATTAGACCGAGGAGACAAACCAGCACCGTTTGAAAAGTGTGTGTGCATGCACTGTGCGTTTAACTTACTTCACACCGCGTGTGCGCGAAGCCGCGCAAACGCGTCCACTGGCCACGGAGGGTTTCAACAAATGAGGAAAACGCTCACTGGAGACCCAAATGTTAGCCTTGATTTATTGAGTAAAAATACGGTGGACGGGCAGCTACGTAAAGTAATAATAAAAAAACACAACCAAAAATACCCATTCCAAGTTTCCCGTGACCGACCGCTCGCTCGTCTTGTTTCTCCTCCGTTCAAGACTCGCCAAAGGAGGGGGGGGGGCGATGCAAGAACGAAATGAGCAGTGAATTCACGCAGTGTGGCCTGGTTTTTCGAAGTGCAAAAAAAAGAACCTGCTTAACGCTACATAGATATAGAGAGGACGCGGTCCAAACAAAAAAAAACACAACCAACGCATTGCCTCGAACTGGAACTCTTCACACCGAAGGCAATCCGCAGGGCCAGATTGCGTCCCTTCACACAGCAAACACGCACGGATATTCACGCGAGCCGGGTTTTTTCTCATCTTGTTACGGGGAAACGCAAACCGGGGGGTTCAGTGTTCACGATATAGACTTATATATATAAACTTCCGGTAATATATTTATATAGGTCCAGCGATAACACAGGGGGGTGGGGGGGGGAGCGGGGGGTCGTATTATCCGTAAACCAATAATGTAATTTGCACAGAAAACAGGGTAATATTAAATACCGCGCGCATTACCCCCGAACAAAGCTCGGACCCCCCCCCCCCCGTCCTCTCTCTCTCCAAAGAAATGTTTTGATCATTTTTGATCAACTGTTTCCGTCCGTCGGTCAAATGTGAATACGTTTTGTAATATTACGCGATACAAGTACTGTACACACCTACAGCGCACACAGAGTAACGTGGCAAAACGTGTACGGCAAGGCAATGCACAAGACGTCGCAAGCGGTGTCTGCCTAAGGGTGCCCCCACGCACCACGCTAAAAAAACAAACACAGACATTGTTTTAGGGAAGCCAACAATATTTGCACAAACTATAGAAATTGTATTCTGTTTTCTTGTTTGTTCCGCTTATAAACATTAGGGGTATACGGCTGTAATTGTTATCCAAGCTGTGCATATCTCAGAAATGTATGCAAAATATAAATTACTAAAACAAATCAAGGACACACGGTTGATAAATTTTGTGTTCCAAAGAATATGTTTTTAGGTAAAATGTCATGGGTTTGTAAACCGTATTTAAATGCTGTGCATATACACATTATATCTTGTGCATGTGTATATTGTCTAAACTGTATATATTGTTTCAATGTGCACATATGTATGTGACACGGTGTATGCATCATGCGTAATTGTGTTTGTATGCGTGTTGGGAAACTGTGTATGTTTTTCAGGTGATTTCTTTTCCTTTCCCGTTCTCTGCACTCCTATCGTGTTTTGTTTTGCATTGTTTGTTGTTGCAACGTTCTTACCCGCCCCGACTGGACACCTGTGAGAAAAAGAGCTTTGCAGCTTATCGGATTCCTCCTGCAGCATAAATAAATATCGTGATTCTGCGTGTTACTAGCTCATATGGCAGCCGGCATCAATTTCAACTGGGATCAACAAAGCAAGATCCCAAATATGCGACGCACGCCGCTATTATGCTCACTTTCAGTTCTATTAACAATGCGTTGTACTATTTTTTTTCTTTCTAAAAACCTTCTACTCGCATTGTGTAATAACCATCGTGAAATAGAAGTGCCACACCCAGCGAAGCGTTATGCAATGCCCACTCCTTCACGGGAACACCAAACAATCGCACACACAAGGAGAGTGCGTTCTACAAATGGTGGTGCTTATGATTCCATTAGCACAATGTGGTGTTTGTGTTTTTCCGCCCATCATTTTACAAGTGTACAAGTTACATTCACGAACGTATCACTGCCGCGTGTATATTGCAAATTAAATCGCTACAGTACTAGACGAGTGTGTTAGGAGTTTTCATTTTTTTCATTTAAAGTTTCCAAACTCTTCAGGCCGCTTTGCATTAATGTGTAATCTGATATATTCCATTTCCTCCATCATCCTTGTTTCATATTCACACATCGTTGCTCTTATCATTTTTCAAGACACGGGATGTATCATTTTTAAAGAAGTTTTACCAACTCACCACGATGACACCAAACTGCCAAAATGACCTCCAAATTTTGAAATGTTCACCAGTTCAACACAGACCGCGATTCCACTTGTGACATGTGGTCTGCCAGCAGGGTACTGAGCATTGTCATCATTACGGAATTATTTTTAGAGAAACAGCAGTGAATTTGCATAAAACTAATGACGAATAAAAACACGAGGTGAAGAAACGCGCACTACCCAACAACGTGTCCGCAAGTTACCGTCCGTTATTAAAGGGTTTTAACTAGACAGCAGTTTTAGCCCGACGAGTGGCAGCCCGAGGAATGGAATCGTCTGAGAGGCTGTCCACTGAATGAGATGAATGCAGTTCAAGTGCGGGAACGATGCGGACTAATACATCGCAGGATCGTCAGGTGGGGCGGGTGGCTTGGGCAAGCAGTTGCTGACGATGACGACTTTACCAGCCGATTCAAATCACGCACCTCCGATTAGCACGGGTTGGCTACGTACGGTGCAAAAGAAGTTCAACATACATATATACCACTAAAAAACAAAAGTATTTTATTTTATTTGACCAGGTAAGGCCCACTGAACTATATCGCTCTTTTTTTAGAAGCAACCTGGCCACAAATGATAGCACAACGACGTGGCTTGTCATCATGTGGGAATTTAAAGTAGCCAAATATTCGAAATGCATGTTGATTCTAAACGTGGAGGGAAAAAAACAGGGGACTCGGAGAAAAATCCACAGAAACACGGGGAACACATGAAAACTCCAAATATACAGCAGGCGTCAGGGTCGGGATGGAACACACGACCTTCTGTATACCAGGCAAGGTAGTTAACATCTCGCCACTGTGGCGCCCCATACAAACGTTTCATTGTACGAAATGCATCCCTCAAATTACCATCCACACGTGTGTCCACGTGTATTGGCGATGCACATCGAATCCAGATTTGAGAGAGTCCATCTCAAGTGGGATTATTTAGAATGCTTCTGTTGTAAATTTGGCAAACCACTATTCTACCTTTCTCACAACTCTGACATTTAATTCACACGCTTTCCAACTGCTGTCTAATTATAATTATTTTTTATAATCGTTGAAACTTTTACGGACCCCCCGCATGTCACGCATGCCGTTTTTTTTAAATATTTTTTCTATATTTCAAGAAAGTATTTGTGATTCACAAATGCAACAGGCGATGAGTCAATCACACACATAGCAATGGTTTAGTTGACAGCAATTGCATGCCCTCAATACTGAAGTGTCTACGCACACGCGCGCTGTATGCTGTGCAGATGAATGGCCTGGACTGTGTATCTTCCCTACCACCATACACCACCAGAACTCCAGATGGTTCCCCAGATTTCGATACACCGCAGGGCAAACATTTACACGAGCAACGTTTGACTCTAATTTTAAGTTGTAATTGTTTGTCCTCATTAAACATCTAAAAAAAATTTAAACTAACGTTTGCCCGTTAAACGCGATGATTAGACATTTAACCGCTTAGCCAAATATACAACATCCAATTATCAGCACGTGCACGAAAAAAAATGTGTTGAACAATTAACCAATGGATTCAAAATGACTCAAGGTCGATTTGTAATTGTATGCAGCAATTACATCGGTCATTTAAAAGACATGTCTTTTGAGAGGATTCTTTTTACACGTTTCTTCAAGTTTCCCAGTAACTAGGTGATGCCCGTTTCAAAATTCATTTCCACCTCCCGCTAATTCGCATGCTCTACCTGTGCAAAGTCATTTAGATGAAGAGGATGAGTGTGAATACTATACCCCGTGTGTGAGCATCAAGAGCTACTAACGCAAGATCCGGAGGGGTTTTCAAGATGTTGTGCAGAGGGGGGGGGGGATTTCACGTGCCACACATTGAACGCCAATGTGATTCATTTTATACAAGTAACAAACTTTACGGTGTGATGAGAACTCATCTACTTTTGGGTGGTACATTTTAGGAAATGGAAAATAGGCGGCGTACACACATTTATTTTGTTTAACCACAGTCATAAATTTCAAAAAAAATATTTTCAGACTTATTGTATGTTTCCCTCAGAGCCGCGACGGAGTGAGAAGGTATCCCAATCGTAATGCCACTCCAAACGGTGTGAAAACAACAACGCGGGCACGAACACTTTTGGCTCCTTCAGATTTAACGGGGGCAACTGAAAATTAATGACCACGCTCATCCTAAACAGCGGACGCTCGCAACACCGGCACCAACCCCTTGTTCCGGGGGGGGGGGCCTTGGCATCAATTTTCAGCCCCCTCTGTTGTGGTTTTATTTATGCGATTTTTTTTTCTTTCCCGCAAGGTCAAATGAAGTACTCCTTCTTCTCCTCCGTGTTGTTCTGCGCGCCGTCCGCTCCCACGATTGGAGTGTCCGCCTCTTGAGTCCCCTCGGCACCCTTCGCCTCGTTGGTCAGGTACGTTCCTGCGAAACAGGTGGTGGAAAAAAAAGAGAATAAAAAAAAATACGATTTTTTTTCATTTTTTTTCACTTACGTAATAAACAAACAGGCTGTCTGTACAGCGCTAGCAGCAGAGGGAGAGCTTTGAGCTCTTCTGTCTGGAAGAAGCGCCAGAATCGAAAGCCCTCGTCGTGGACGTAAAGACGGATCATGGGTGAGGATAAACAGCAGAGCAGGGCGTGCCTGACAAGCCAACTCCATCCCATTATGCGCGCAACTGTATGATGAACATTTGCATTACTGGATTGCCTATCGTCACACCACTCTGACAGCCTGACCTAAAAAAAACACGTGGCGAGATGTTAACCACCTCGCCTGGTATGGAGGAGGTCGTGGGTTCGATCCCGACCCTGATGCCTGCATATTTGGAGTTTGCGGTGTCTCTCTCGGTGGTCGCGTGGATTTTTCTCCGGGTCCTCCGGGTTATTTTCGCTCAACACTTAGAATCAACATCGCGCGTTTAGAGTATTTGGCTGCTATAAATTTCCACGCAATAAGCCAATTTGTTGAGCTGTCATTTGTGGCCAGGTCGCTTCTGAAAAAGACCTATGCAGCTCAGTGGGCCTTACCTGGTAAAATAAACATTGTTTAGTTTGTAGTTGAGTTTAAAACGTATAAGCGAGTGGGGGTCAGATGTGTACTTTAAGGGGGTGACATTTAAAAAGTAAGAAATGTTACAGTAAAATGCCCTGTCCGGATGTTGACCAATGCACCATCCTGGAACTATGGTCCATTAAAGTTCAACGGCCACAACAATTGTTGTTCACACGGGCCTCTAATTAGGGTTTTTGGTGACATGTCAGCGACCTGTTAAAACTGTGTTCAGAAAGTCTGTGTGTATACAGGTCGCAAAGTCATTGCGGCCAAACGCATTGAGGCCACCTCCACCGCATCGCTACCAACGCTTCATATCCTCCATATCATCGCTATCAACAATGGTGACCGCATAGCACGCTATACAAAGATGCACTCCTACCGCCGTCTGGAACGCTCTTCCTTCCGATATTAGGAAGCCAAAGGAGCTATGCACTTTAAAAGCAAGATCGCAAACTCATTTCTCTAGAACTGCTTTTCATGTTTAGTTGTCCTTCACCCGGCAGCCACGATGAGCACGGTTGGCTACGTAAGGTGTGAAAGAAGTTCAACATACATACTGTACATACAGGTACATACAGGTACATACATGTATGTTGAACTTCTTTCACACCGTACGTAGCCAACCGTGCTAATTGGTGGTACATACACACCCTCCACCAAAATCCCGCAGCTTCTCAACACAGTAGACACACAGTGACCTCGAGAATCTGACCTGTCAGTATCCCACCATTTGCTCTCCGGTCTTCCCCCGTTGGCTGCATACACATGGCGCATTGTGTAACGGTCCACCATAGAAATCCACCGTTGTAAAACGTAAATCGTCGGCGGACAACACCGCAAAGGGACCCCGCGTCGTGAGGAATATTTATCAGCTGCGCGTTCCACACACGACGGAACGTGAAAATAATTTGATGAACAATCACACGAGGTGCATGAGCGTCGCCCTCCTGAAATTAAACGCTCATTGTCAGACCAAATTGAGCGCTCCGTGCACGTTTGCACGCATTGAAATATCACGGAGATCTCCCTTTGGGGGCTCGCGCGGGTGAAATGAGATGCATTTTTACTATCGAGCATTTACGTTCTCCTGAATTGCCACCAGCGGTCTCGTGCACACACACACACAATGGCTCTCGATTTGTTTGCGAGCACAAAGGAACGGGCGGCAGTAAAATGCAAATCGCTGAGTCGGCACAAAAAAAAAACTATAAGCAGCCAATGATATAGCATTCAGAGAGCGCAGCACAATTTTGAATGACACTGAGCAGTGACGCAACTGAGAATGAAAAAGTACCTCAGTTAAAGGCTGTCTAGAGCGAGTCTTTATCTCCAAATTTTTTTTCGCAACTCTTGGCAACACCGGTGCTCTTTAGACTTTTCACGGCGGAAGAAGGGGGGGGGGGGGGGAAATGCTCTCTCGTCTCTCTTTTTTTTCTTCCTGCAGCGTAAGATAGCGTCTGTCTCTTTTTTTACTTATGCTCTTTAAGGCTGACACACTGCGAAAGGCTTCCCCTTTTCATGCCTGCCTGGTACAACTGCGCCCCCCCCCCCCCGCACCGCCCCCCCCCCACCGCCCCGCGAGTGTCTACGTCATTATTCTTTGCGCTTTATTCAGTCAAACCCATTTTTTTTTTACCTCTTCCAATTACACAGCTGGCAGAGTACAAATGCGCATTCGCAAGGGCAATCCTCCCCACGGCCAATTAATGTTGACACACGCGACGCCGAAAGAAGAAATCACTTGCGGGGAGAACCGCCGGGGGGAAGTGCGGCCATTTACCACGTGTTGTGCTGACACTCGCTCTAACGCCAGAAGGACTTGGAGAATATCTCTACGCGAACACGTCTGGGAACTTTTCATTAGGCAGCGATACGACATTGGCCCTCGAAATATATTGCTCGAGAAGGATACGAATGCATCTAAGCTGGGCCCAAAGAGTGACCAACACAGAAGTAAGATAAAAGTTGCATGTAGAATGAGACCTGATGCAGACAGTGATGAGAAGGAAACGGACACTTTTTGGACACGTGCGTAGGATAGATGATAACAGGAAAAAAAATTTGTTGTTCGGAAAAATGTAAGGAACCGGAAATAGATGAAGACCTCACAGAGACTGGCTTGACGAATACATAAGAGAGAGGTTGGTGCCAGAAAGATGTGGCCACTACTTGAGAATATTGACACAAATACAGAGAGGAAAGTGGAAACGAATTACAAAATGTGCAGTCGACACCTTCAGGCTCTCTGTCCATCGATTGTGATGATGTTTATCTTTCATGATGACAATTAAGGACAAAAACACTTTCAACGTTATTAGACAATATTCAACTGGTTTGCTAACAGAACGAGTTTGTCATCCAAATATATGCAGCATAAATGCAGTACGATAAAAAAACAGGGAATTCTAACATCCACATTTGAAACAACTGTGCATAGTAAACATTAATACGCCTGTGCACCAAACATATATTTACAATCATTTAAGCCAATTTAGGTAAAAAAAACATGAATAATTCATCAGAGATAATGTTGGCGGAAAAAACTACATTGCACGAGAAAAGGAAGTCTTAGCACACGATAACATTGTATACTCTTAATCCATAGTAAAACAAAAACTGCAAGTACAACATTTATCACGAAGTGGTGTTTGAGAAGACTTAGTAACAGAGCTTCGAAGCAATGTTTCCTTCACTGTCCATTCTGTTCCAGTTTCTCATGGCTCATAAGATCAACCAGCCAAGCTCTGCGGCCCAAACGTCACTCAATGCAGCTTGCAAGCCATGAAAATCCAATGTCGAAATGACTATTAAGCATTGTGAAATTTCCACTTCAAATGATGCTTCATCTAAAGCGTAGATTGTGAAATTGATTGAAACCGGTGGCTCAAGTTCAAGAGCATCTCAGAGACAGAACAATGAGCAGTGCCTTGAACCAAAGAATGTTCCGATGTGTATGAAAATTTGCTGACCCGCCCATTCTAGAACTTCGTAGTTCATCGGATTCCTCCAGGATAAATAAAGATTCTTATTCTGATGTATGTTGAACTTATTTCGCACCGTACGTGGCCAACCGTGATAATCGGAAGAGCGGTATCTTGAGGACGGGGGGGGGGGGGGGATAAATACAAAAAAAAGGAAACTTTGTTTCCATCAGGGTCAAGCACACGCTTCATTTATTTGTGCAGCGGTGATGGATCCCGAGCCTTAAGCAGTCAAAACCCTGCTGTGCGTCGGGGAACTGAAGCCACCGTGAGCCCACTGGCACTCAGCCAGCCTTCAATTGCCTCCGTTGGCCATCCCCACGTGGGGAATTTAAAAAAATGCACTAGATCACTCATCTCACTCTCAATGTAATCTAAAGCTGGGACTGATTTCCATTTATCAGTTGCTAAATATTTAATGCATGAGACTTGACATTTAGGTCCATAATTATTATCTTGGCTTTTTTTTTAGCTCTCGCATGTGGCTGCAGCGAAAGCCGTTTTGGCATTTTCTCTTCACCAATTATGTCCCAATTGTGCTTTTGGCTCCTACACGGACAGCAAAGCATATTTCATTCTGGATCCACCCATGACAGCCCATCTACATGTGATTTTAGGGAACAGCCCAGAAGGTTTATGACAGCTCTTCGCTTGATATTCTACGACGGCCTGTCTTAACATAGCCCCGAGCCTGCGCTCTTAAATCTTTATATGTATGAGAGGTTCTTTTGGCACATGTCGATTAAATAAGCCAGCGGTGACTGAATTAAGGTGGTTATGAAATGTATACATTGGTTTTGGTGCGCCTTGGCTAATATCATGCTGGCCACACGTGAAAATCTTATTTGAAATGAGACGGACACTCAGAACAAGGGCTGGTAATATTAGCAGCAGCAGCAACAGCAGCTGCCTGAAAAGCGATACAATCGAGGGAGAAATTAGGCTGCTCGATTCAATTCCCCAAGAAGCTGTTCACACGTGGAGTGAAACGTCGGACAACTTCCCGACCAACCCGCGGTAACAACCCCCGCCAAGGACACATTGGACGGTGAGCCAAACCCAAGGATCTCGACAGTTTCGATTCAAAACTAGCATTGCATCACAAGGCAAGAAACTATAAAAATAAACTTTTTATTTTTATTTTACCAGGTAAGGCCCATTGAGCTATGTAGCTATTTATAGCAGCAGCCAAATACTGTAAAATGCACGTTGAATCTAAATGTGGAGGAGAAAAAAAACGGATGACCCAGAGAAAAAATCACGCGACCACGGGGAGAGAGAGAGAGAGACGCAAACTCCAAATATACAGCAGCAGGCGTCAAGGTCGGGATCGAACATCACGACCTCCTGTATACCAGGCGAGGTAGTTAACATTTCGCCACCACGGCGCTAGCAGAGTTGAGCTTTCGGGGTTCACCAGCTGCCGGCCCTCCACCACCCTGACCTCTAGCGGCGTCGGGGGTGGAGGAGGGGGGCTCCTCACCTTTATGCCTGGCCAGGTAGCGTCCCAGGATGACGAGCAGGCAGAGAGTGGCGAACACCGCCACCGCCACGACGCCGCCCACCACCGCGTGGTCCGCCCCGCGCGCCGCCAGTGGCACCATATCTGCACTCCCCACCACCGAATACAAAAGATCAACCCTCTCCCCCCCTCTCTTTGTGCAGCCTTAATAGACTGTTGGGGGGGGGGGGGACAAAGTGCTGGTACACACGCAAAAGTACTCGCCACAAATGAACCGCAATTATCTTCTTGGTTCTTTCGGTAAAGTCACGTAGAAGGGAAATAATAAAATAATAAAAATAAAACATAATAAAATCATTCTCACGACGTTTTGGCCACAACGCAAGCAGCCGTCCTCAGGTGAAGAACAGGTCTGTCGGAAAGACAGCGACAGACCTGTTCTTCACCTGTTCTCCACCTGAGGACGGCTGCTTGCGTTGTGGCCGAAACGTCGTGAGAATTATTTTATTATGTTTTATTTTTATTATTTTATTATGTCCATTCTACGTGACCTTACCGAAAGAACCAAGAAGATGAATCCCTGCAGTCACGAAAGCTTTAAATCGAAATTGAGCCGCAATTATTTGACCTCGCTGATCTCTCGTCAAGGAGCAGTAAACCCTCAGGCGAAACTCCGGTCATCCTTGCAGCGGCTTCTGGCGAAACCGCTGAACAAGGACGGTCACCGCATCGTTCACTTTCAGATGCGCTTCCACGGCCATCTGGAACTCCCTTCCTTCCGATATTAGGAAGCCACTGGAGATATGCACTTTTAAATCATCTAGATTGAAAACTCATTTGTTGTGAACTGCTTTTTGTGTTTAGTTTGTTGTCCTTCCACCCCCTCCCACACCTCCGATTAGCACGGTCGGCTACGTACGGTGCAAACGAAGTTCAACATACATACACACATTTCTCCTCCTCCTTCTTGCCTTGCACTGCTCGACTTTGGAACTCCCCCCATCGCCTCTCTTCACAAGCACCCGGAGCTTCGTTCAGTGCAAGGAGCTCCTGTGTATTCAACTGGTGTCCTGTCAACAGAGCTCCGAAGCGATGACCCCTTTGCGTCCAGGGGGCCTTTGTTCGTTCGGCAGCCCCGATCTCAAAACAATGCAGCTCCATGCGTGACAAAAATCCCCCCGTGTTAGCCTTCACAGACTGTTTGGGAAAGTGCTGTTTGCGAGCACCCGTGAAGGCCGGGAGGGCACACGGCAGAGTGGGTTGGCCAGCACCACGCCCAGCCACCTTTGTCTCCCCAGTGGTGATGTTTACACACCACACCAGATACTCATCTGGATGTATTTATGTGGCCAACCATGCTAATCAGAGGTGCGGGGGAAGGACAACAAACTAAACAAAAAAAGCATTTGAGGACGAGTTGACCTAGGGGAGGTCCAGGATTGGTTCCGATATTCGTTAGTGGTGTTGGCCATGAGCAGGAATCGAACTCAGGTCGATGGGTTGATAGCGCAGTGCGCTAACCACTACACAGACACACACAACTCTGTGCATGTATGCATCGTGCATGCACAGAGAGATGGGGTATATGTATATACAAACATAAAACAGGAACCAACAAAATATCTCGGCTATAAATTTTAATATTGATGTAAAAAAATAACATCCCAAAATGGGGCAGGTTTTTTTCTCCCTCCACCGAGTAAAGATGAAGAACCATCGATTCCTTGTTTTGTTGCTGAAGAAGGCACAATTTATATGACCGTGTATCAGCAAGCATCAAGCAGTGATAAAAAATAACGTGACATAAATCCGCGGGAATAGTTGAACGTAAAACATTTTGTTGCAAACCTCCAGAAGGCATTGGAAAACTCATCATGAACGGGGTGTTTTAATCAAGTACGGCAATACTTGTCGGTGAGCGTAAAAAAAAAAGATCTGTTTCTGAAAAAGAGAGATGCTGACGTGCACTTCGCTGGCTCGGGTCGCGCTGAAGGAGAGCGGTCGGAAGACAGCTGGCGACCGCACGAGAGGTGCAAAGAGCAAACGGTGCCCGGAGCAAATCGAGAGAAGAGCTGAAGCAGCCCCCCCCTCCCCCAATGCGCTGCCGCGAGGTTCGTAAAAATAATAATAATAAAATAATAAAGGGACGGTGCGGGCATAAGGATTTTTTTAATTGCAATCTGTACGCACGTATGAGCGCTGAACTACTCTCGCACTGTACGTAGCCAACCGTGCGGAGGTGCGTGCGAATGGGATGAGAGCGAGAAAGAGGCCGTTTGTACGCGTCACGATTACCCCTCATCGTTGGCCACGTAGAACAAGCTGGCGCTGATCCACACGACAAACGGAAAAAAAAAATGTTGTTGCAACGAAATTATAGTGAGCCGGGCGGTGGTGGCTTTGGCGCGCGGCCTGTGATCCGGCACTGTGGAGGCAGCGAGGGGTTGGTGGATTATCGCACACAGATGTCGCGAAACTCCCTTCCCGTGAGCGTCGGTGTGCTATGCCCTGGACCGCTGGGATAAGGCAACATTTGGACTCCACCTGCTCCATCTGTGCTGCACCCACAGGCACGCGTGACTTTTCCTTGGGTGCTCCTTTTTCCTCCCACATGAAAGCACTCATTAACTGGCCGATAGTGCCTTCATATATGGAGGACCGCAGAGCTTGGACGGGGGGGGGGAGGGGAGGGTAAATTGGCACCGGCTCACTTCCTGGCTGCTGCCTTTCCTGCTGGTCCGCGGTTGCCTCGTGCCTCTGAGTAGTTCTCTCCGTTCGAGAGTGAGCGGATACTCTGCGGTGGCGCGTTGAGATGATCATGACGTTGTCTTTACCATTTATCGGGCAGCTAAATTCAACTGCATCTCAACACGCTGTAAAGACAGCACGGACACGCGCATCACAAGGATCGTCGCGACAAGGAGGCACTGTGAGTAGGGGGGATGGGTTGTGACCCCTGCCGTTTGTTCCTCTGTCTCGGATGAATTTACCCCACCACTCTTTTCATTTGCGAATGTACGTTGAACTTATTTGGCACCGCACACAGCAAACCGTGCTCCAGCCAAGTTGAATCGGAGGAATCCCCCTGCAGAAAATGGGTTCGACTGGGGCTGCGGATAAAATAAGTTGCAGATCAAGGAAGTGCTCTCCTATATATATATTTGTATGAAGTTTAAGGTGATGACAGTGCACATGTAAGCGACAAGCAATCATTCTGTATGTGGAAGAAACGAGGGAGGGTCTTGGGTCTGAACGTGGATTGACGAGTCCAAGTTTATTTTGAGTAACCAGGTAAAGCGACTCAAGACACCAAGGATGAACCTCGTCTGCAACAATGATCTGGGTTGCCCAAAGTGGCTTTACTGGGGACAAGAGCACATCTGTGAGAGCAACTGTGGGATCTTGTTGCAATAAATACGAGGTGACGAGGACGAGGAACAACAGAGCGTCACCCCCACTGCTGCCCGTAGAGACTCGAAGACAGCAGTCCCTCGTGGTCTCATGGCGAGGGACTCGCGTAGGCCTCGGCTTGGTAAGGTAATTTACCCTTTTTACCGGGGTAAGGTAAAAGGTAGGGTAAAGGTAACTCTGAAGAATTACCCGGTAGGGTAAAGGTAGCGCGAAGTATTACTCGGTAAAGACAGTACCTTGTTTACCGATAAAAGCTCCGTGGCGCAGTCCGTGGCCTCCATTTAATAAGTAATATTTAAGAAATACTTTTTTTTAAACACGCTTTTATGAAATGTACGAGTAATGGCAGAACTCCACGACTCCAGGAAGTGGCCCCAAAGCTTGCCACAACGTAAGGGGCCGTGGTGATTTACAGCCAACGTCAGCTGAGCGTGGACAATTAGACCCAAGCCGAAACATAACATGTACAAAAAAAATGTTTTAAAATATGTATATATTTTATGATATAATATAGTGTTGTCATCAGTATGACATAAGTATACCAAGTTTGCAGTCGATATCACATTGGGAAGTGGGTTAAAATTGAGTTACAAGATTTGAGGATACGACTACGACGACAACGACGACAACGACAAGCGTGTAAAATTGGAATCATCGAGAGTATTCTATATGAATAAAGCGCTCTACCTTACAGCATTTACCGTTATAAACCTTGTTCGTGTGTAGTAGTACCCCAGTAATTACCCTGTAATCGGGTAATTTGTACGGGGTAAGGGTAAAAGGTCGGGTGAAGGTAGGCTCGTTGCTTTTTACCTTTTACCTTACCTGCTAAAGGGTAAAAGGTAGGGTAGAGTGATTGTATTGTGGTAAGGTAAAAAGTAAGGTAAAGGTAGGCTTGTTTTTTTTTACATTTTTACTTCTACCTTACTTTTCCGAGGCCTAGACTCGCGTGTGAATTAATGGGGCCCAACACTCCCAACCCCTCCTGCCCTTTGCTTCGTAGCCGTCACCGGAAGATAAAGCTGCACGCGTTCACTCTGCCTGCGGTTGTTTCTTACTCAATTTATTTTTTCTTCTCCTACGAGCGGTTTACCGAACCCACATTAGCACCAGCCGAGTTAAGATCCACCACCGACAAAGACGGCCACGGTGGTGACGTTTGTAAACGAATGAAAGACGCTATTTGGTGCCGCAGCATGCTTGTCCGAGCTCCTTCTCCGCCAGCAAAGCCACACGCAGAGTCACCGCGAGGGCCCCATTATTTAAAACGTCTCACATAACAGCTGGCAGAAAGCTTATCCCAGCGGCAGTAGCACTCACGATTGCCCGCTAATGCCGTCAAAGGGGGTGGTGGTGGGGGGGCGCTTGGTGCAGCAACTATAGAGCTCTTAATTCTAGATTTGAAGCTTTCGTGACTGCAAGGATTCATACTCTTTGGTTTTTTCGGTAAAGTCACGTAGGTACAAAATTAAGCGGTTGTGTTTTCGCTACGTTGTCCCCACCTGAAGAAGGATGCTTGTGTTGCGCCCGAAACGTCGTGATTTAATTTAGTTGTTTTCATTTATTTGATTTTTTACCTACGTGACTTTACCGAAAAAAACCAAAGAGTATAGAGTTCTTTTTCAGAAGCGACCTGGCCTCAACGAAGTGGCTTATCACGTGCAAATTTATAGCAGCAGGCAGATACTCTGATTGAATGTTGATTTTATGTGTGTGGGGAAGCACCGGAGAAA